TTCTATCAGAAGCCACTGCTCTGGGCAACTCCTGCTGCCCAGAGCCTGCTCTCGCCCTATGACTCCAGCCCTCCTACTTCCAGAGGGGATCCCTCTAGCATAAGGGCAGGAGATGTGCCACCTTCTCTGGGATATACCCTCAGAACCATATTCCTCTCTAAGCTCCCTTTGTTAACAACCTTCTCCCTTCTGTTAACTCTCAACATGGGTCCCTCTAGCTTCTGAGCCAATCATGCCCCCTAACTGCCTCTATCAGTGTCATCCCCATGTTGTCAAATCCTCTGTCCATGTCCTTCCCAACCACTCGGCAGTATTCAGGACAGCTGACTGTCCCCTGCCCCCGAAGTGTTCCTTCTTTGTTTCCATGATGCCACATGCCCCTGGCTGTCCTCTCACCTCACTGCCTGCTGCTTCTCAAGGCTACCTGTCAGGGCAGTTGCTTGACCTCAAGAAAATTTAGGGTTCCTCAAGGCTCAGTCCTGAGGCCCCTTCTTTTCTACTGGTACTTCCTCCTGCACACTATCCCAGGCCTTGGCCTGTAAACCATCTATGACACTCCAACTCCAGACAAATGCCTCTGCCCAGGCCTTACTGCGCTCCCAACACTTATGTTCTCCTGTCTACCGGACAGCTCCACCTGAACAAGTGAGAACAAAGTCCAATTCCAGGTCAACCCAGGCCACCATCTGGCTTAGGCCAGAAATCTAGAAGTCAGCTTGATTCTTCTGTTATCCTCACCCTCTACTTCAGTCACTAAGGACTGTCAATCCTTCTCCAAAGCATTTCTCAACTCCACTACTCCAAATTCACATCCTAAACCTTGTTACCCTGACCTGAGCATCCTTTAGCTTACTCCAGGACCACTGCGATGGCCACTGGCAATCTTACCCCAGCAATCCATTTCCCACCCAGCAGCAAGAGTGAGCTTCTTAAAACACAGATCCAAGGCTGGGTGTGGTGGATCAGGCCTATAATCTCAGCACTTTGGGAGGTCAAGGTAGAGGGTCACCTGAGGCCAGGAGTTCAAGACCAGCCTGAGCAATACAGTAAGACTACTTCTGTACAAAAATAAACTTTTAAAAATGAGCTGGGCGTGGTGGCACACACCTGTAGTCCCAACTACTCAGAAGGCTGATGCAGCAGGATTGCCTAAGTCTAGTTTGAGGTTGCAGTAACCTACAATCCTGCCACTGCCTTACAGTCTGAGTGACACAGTGAGAGTCTGTCTCTTAAGAAGACAAACAAAAACAATAAATTCAATAGAATCACTCTTCTACTAAAAACCCATACTACCTTTAATTGTACAAAAAGTCCATTTTCAATCAAGTAAAACTGAAATACCAATGGCATGGCCTAAAAGATGTTCAAGCTCTGACTTTGCCTCCTCCTGGCTTTCTCAGTGTTGCCCAAGGAAAACAGCCTGTCAAAGCCACCTCAGTCAGATGCCAGAGGCAGCCAAAAAGACTGAGCCCTGCTCATGGACTCGTGGCCATCCAGCTGTCTCCACTAAGACTGCATCCACTGAGGGCAAGGCTATTTCTGGGCAGTCTAATCCAACAGATAAAGCATTTCTAAAAGTATCATCATAGCACTAGGACAAGGCATTCCTTTGAGTTAACATTTTAAATGTTTACACATGGAAACGCAGATACACAAAGTCCCAAACCGAAATTTCCCCCCAGCTTTGGTTTGTGAGCTCAGCCTGTACATTCTAGTGAGGGCTTCCGTGAGAGGCCCTCACTGCCATGACAAGTGGACACAGGACAGCTGTGGTCAAAGCAGGCATGATGGCCCGGGGGCAGGTGTGGCCGGGCGCTCTTCAGAGCACAGCAAGGAAGTGGGGTGGGCTTATGTCTCTGTGAAGACGGCGCCCTCGCTTTGCCCTGAGCCTCCTTCTGGACTGGAGCCCTCGCAGATGGAGGCCACGATCTCGTTTCGTATCCTCAGGAAAGAGCTACGAGGACGGGCGGTGAGGCCCGCTCCTGAGGATAACCACAGCAGATCCCGCGCTCGCAGAGCCCGGGCCGCCCGCCTGCCGCACCCCGCCGGAGCCCCGTGCCCGGCTCAGCCCCACCTGGGGCCGCCGCCAGGTGATGTCCTCTCGGAACTGGGCCAGCGGCGTGGACGAGTTGAAGAAAAGCGAGGAGTCCGACGCGGGGAAGGCTGCGTCCCGGAAGAGCTCCCTGGCCGGCGCCGGCGTCTCGCCCCGGCCCGCCTGCATCTTTGGCGCCTCGGGCACCCATCTGCAGCCGGTGGACTCAGGGTCGCGGCTCCGCAGGGAGGGCGGGTCCGCCTGTCCCCCGCCGGACTTGGCA